GCGCGCGCGCGCGCGCGCGCGCGCGCTAGTGGGGACATGCACTTGCTTGTGCAGGCATGCATGCATAGGACAGAGACTGACATCTGGATGTCTTCCTCAATTGCTTCTCCATCTTATGATTTTTATTTTTATTTTTATTTTTACACAGGGTCTATCACTGAACCTGGAGCTTGCCATTTCTGCTAGTCTGGTTAATCAGCAAGCCCCCGGGTGTCTGCCTGTTTCCATGCCTGAGTACTGGGGTTACAGATGTGTACCACCACACCCAGCTTATATGTGACTGCTGGGGAATGTAAACTCAGGTCCCTCATCTTAGGCAGCAACCGTTTTACCTACTGGGCTGTTTCCCCAACACCTGCAATGTGTGTCTTAATCCTCTGCCCTGAACTAATCCCTAATTATTATTTTGCTTACTTTAAAGTTATGTAATATTTCCAACAAAGACTAGAAACTATTATGTAAAACTCTGATTTATCACCTCCTAACACTCTGCTATGCTTCATAACTTTTTAATTAGACAAATTTGTGAGTTAGTTTAGGTCTTTATTTTGGCAGTAAAGTGTGATGGAGTAAACTAGATTCAGTGAAGTCTTTCTTCCATTCATAACATCCACAATAACTGACCGTTTTCATTGGCAAGAAGTGTTTTGGACATTATGTAGAGATGATTTCATCATCCCATGCCATGAGATTGAAGAGTCTCATTTTATGGACACATTGTCTACATCCCTATCCCCAACAGAGTAGGTGTTGATTGATGGTTTCAAATTTTGAAATGTAAAGTTACTGCGGTCAGTCCATCTTAAATGCCTGAAATAGCTTGCTTATAGTATTTTCTCCTGAAATGGTGGACAGCGTCAAATAGAAGGTATAGGTACATAGTAGGTCTTTTTTCTATTATAAATGTGCATCATTTGGGGGTCTTGCCATTAAAACAAAATATTGGGGCTGGGAAGAGGCCTCACTCAGCCAAGTGGCTCCTGGACAAGCTGACTGAGGACCTGAATTCCGATTCTCAACACCTGTGTAAAAGCCAAGTGTGGTGTTGTGTGACCATAAGCTCAGGGCTAGGGAACTAAGTCAGACAGATCTCTGGAACTCATTGGCCAGAGAGCCTCGTTGAGTCAGTGCGCTCCAGGGATGATGAGAAACCTTGTCTCGATGATGATGATGATGATGATGATGATGATGATGATGACAGAGTGCAAGACGCCAGGTCTCTGGCCTCTATACACATGTTCAGACCTGAGCAAAAACATACAAATAACACAGAGACATACAAATAAGTACTAGAAAATCAGAAATCTTTGTCATCCTTCCTTTAAGGGTTTTATCCTTTCTCTTTAGTCTGTCTGGTTGCTCCCTTCCCTTTTGGGTGACAAGGTCTCAAAGTAGGCCAGGCTGGCTGGAACTCCTGCCTCAGACTCCAAGTGCTGGGATTATAGTCATGACCTGGTTTCAATTTAAAGAACTGGGAGACAGGGCTGTCTTTGTCTCATCCCGGTGTGTCTTCTTGTCTCGTCAGTCACGTACTCTATTCAGCAGTGGCATTCACTATGAAATATATCCACGAACGATGTACTTGCTTTAGGCATCATTTGCTTCCTTATGGGATAATTTTCCAGTATTTTATTATTTAGCAACAGCCATATTTTCCCCAGATAACAGACATGTCTGTGGCTTTGTGGTAAATCTCAGGGGCCTTGGGCTAAAAGTTTTAGAATGAGTGGCTGTTCTCTTTGTTGGTCAGACTTCGTTTTCTTGTATTCCTTGGTCCACAATGTCCCCCTCCCCCTTTCCTTTGAATCTTTGTGTCTTCACTGCCAGCATTTACTTTAGAATTAAAAGTCACCATCAGCCGGGCTTTCTTTCTTTTTCCACCCAGCATCTTTCCCCCCCCCTGCCCTTTCTCTTGGACCTTAACACCATTCCCCAACCCCTCCTGCTCATCTTTTCCTTTCTTTCTCTCTTATTAAATGAGAGCTGGGTTGACAGTGATTTATTAAAACTGACTCAAGACGAAGACATGATTATTTCTATAGTCAATAAAGTATAAAATCTTTCCATTAAAATACAAAGAAAACTCTTCTGGCCCAGATGATTTTATAGGTGATGGTAAAAGGGAACCCTATTCTCAAAACTTGCCTTTCCTCTCATGTACAAAGAGGTCTGTGAGGTAACTTAATCAGACACTTTCTGTCCCCTTATGTTTGGGAGACTGGAGCAAACCTGAAGTGGGGTGGATCTGGTCCCCAAGCCTCTCCTTTGGAATTGAATGCTCATGAGCCGTATTGGCAGTACCACTCACTCCTCCTTGGCCAGTCAGCCTCTGCTATGTGCTCTAAGCTGACGGTGGCATTAAGAAGCTTATCAGTGCCTCATCCTTGGGCTATGGAATCCAACGTCCTTATCAGAAATAGAGCTGATGTTCTGATTGCTGACCTCATGACTTAGGTATTATCTTACAGCTTCGGAATACCAAAAACCATTTGGGAGGTTTGAACTAAATCTATACTCTCAAAACAAAACAAAAACAAAAACCCAGCCAGAATATGAAGGAATTTACTATATTCTTCACCTAGCTTCTCCTAACTTCAACACCTTATACCCCAGCAGTCAGAGCCAGGAAATTAACATTCACTAAAAACTTCTTTTAAGTCTTGCTGCTGACTTCCTGCTGAGGCTCTTTTGTGTTCCAGGATCTTGGCATTGGCATTTATAATGTTGGCTAGTTGTCCTTGGTCCCCTGCAGTCTGTACTTGTTCCTGTAGTTTCCCTGTTTTTCACAACCTTGATATATTTGAAGTGTATACATTGTTCTGTCAGACATCTCTCAGTTTTTGAGTTTGGTGTTTTCTTGTCATCAAGGCTATTATATTACATTTGGCTAAGAATGCATGTGGTTTGTGCTGCTGACTTGTCGTCTTATTCAACCGGTAGTCACTTTGTTTTGTGTTTCTGCAAAGTTTCTTTCTTTTAAAATCATCGTTTTTCCTCTTTGCTATAAATAAGCATTCAGGGTTATATTAAAATGATGTGAACTTTGTTTCTCCTCATACCTTACCGCCCAGCATCGGACAGCGGACAGCAAGTGCTTTAGGGACTTCTCCCCAGCCCCACCTGCTGTTTTTTTATCAGTTGTCTGTCAGATGAGCTCATGGCTGTTGACCATGGGTTCTGATTTTCTAGGTTTGGGTGTTTGTTATATTTTATGGTTTATGACTGAATGCTTTACTTATTTATTTTGCTGCTCTCATTTTTCTAGTGCTCCTTCAAGTTGGAGCGTGTTTTTGTTTGTTTTTGCAGCAATTTCTTATTTTATGGCATTTAGAGATGTTTCTTGTATATTCTTTGTGCTGTCCCTGTAATCAAATATTTCTTCAAGGAACACTTGTTCTTTTGATTGCGAAACAGTCCTTAGAAACCAAGATGTGAACCAAGATCTGGAAAAGAATTTGTTAGCTAGTAAAGTTGTAGGTACATATATTCTATG